AAAAAAAAAAAAAAAAAAAAAAAAAAAAAATGAAAAAAATAAAAACTTTTGCTCAGGTTTAGTTCATTATACTGGTACTACTATCAGAGCCTTGACAAAAGTAATTTCAATTTTAAACTTTCAAATACCTTCTTGTTCCTTTCAAATACTCCCTCAATTCGAATATTAATTTTATCGATAACAGTTTACTAAAAGAAAAAAGAATAACAGACAAAACAAAAATTGTTTCCTTCTTTTTTTTGAAAAACGAGCTTAACTTTAACTGCGCGTTCAAACTTCACGCCGTTTAAACAGTTATCAGCGACGGCAACTACCGTTAATCATTTTAGAGCACTAAATACTGGCCGCTGTATTTACACAGTATACTTAATTAAAGGAGAACAAAGGGCATTAAACAGTCTGCTTTACTTCGCGTTTATAATCTCAGTTTTAACAAACAGCTGTCAAAGAAAACCCTCGAGCATATAAACCGAGAAATAGAACAGCTGTTAAAACATTGACGAGAAAGAATAAGATGGAAAAGCAGGAAAAAAGCTGAGCTGCACATGATCCTGTACGCCTCCGACCAAGTTCCCTGAAAACTCCGGTTGAAAGCATTAGGTAGGCTTAACCGCTTCTGTTTTACAGAATACCACTGTACTTTTTGCGCAGTTTATCCTCCCAACTCTAGATAAGAGTTATCTCTTATACTAATTTAAATATGTTATGGCCCCACTTTCAACCGCTTACCAGGAGGACGAAGCTTAATTAAAAGTCCCGCGTAGGCATAAGTTCTATCACCCCTCATGACTGAAAAATGCCTTGCGCAGGAACCACTAGCGGTGTCTTGGAGTTGTGGAAGACACCCAGGAGATCGAAAGCACAGTGCTTCCACTAGGACGTCCAATGCTTGCCGTTGAGAGGTGAAGAAAACTTGCATGTAGCTTTAGAGGAGTTTCGTAGTTTTTGCAATTCCACAAGAGAATGCAAGTAGAGAAATGAAGAAAATTAATGCTAGTTGCTGTTCCGTAAGACTGCCTAATGCTTGCACACACCGACCACATCGTTGAGGAACTTTGGAAAAGAGGGAGTATTAAACTGACAGCCTGGATAGCATTGACAGGCTTTCGTTTATCTAAACTAGATTTTTTTTTATTTATAATTAGTACATTCCAGCTAACTGAGACAACAGGCGTTAAAACGCATCTGTCTGAAAGCTTTCACAGAATAATTCTTGTCATGCGAGTGTCTGAAAGACTGCACGCAGCTCCGAATCTTCCTTCGTGCACATTTTTATGATTCTGCCGAGGAAATTGATAGTGTTTTTGCAAGAATTAGAAAGCGGATAAATAGAATTTACTATTGGCCTTCAGATATTAATAACCATCGACCTAACTTTCTATACCGTTTTAAACAGCTCACTAATTCGACTGGACATAAATCCCCGGAACAATATACTGACGATTAAGTGGAATCAGAGTACCATTACTGTGATGAATCAACTGCAGCAAAAAAGGATTTATTCTGATCTTCTTAAAATACCTCCAAAACACCACTGGGTGGTTGTGAGCCTTTCTCGCCTTTTCTTAAAAAAAAAAAAAGTCTTCTAAATTTCGTTTTATCAACCCTTTGTAATTTAAATGGATGCCTCTGGAACTGGTCAACAAATATTTCACAAAAGACCTTAGTGAGCAACAGTAAGAGTTTAAAAAACTTTCCGGAGTTGGAGAAAACATAAAGAAGCGCAAAAAAGAAAGGGACACGTAACTCAAAAAATTGCTCCACGATCCTTAATCGAAGTAAAAAAGTTGAGTAGCTTGTTCTTAGAGCTTTCTAATAAGTTGAGTCCGGCTTCGAAATGAATCCTCCTAAAGGACGGAAAGTATTCTAGAAGGACAAAAAACACGAAGCAACAGAAGAAAAAGACGCGTACTTTAAAAATCGACCTGCGACCCCTAACCAAACCTAGCAGCTCGTTCTTAGGACTTTCTAATGGGTTTAAGCTGGTTCCAGATAAACTCTCCTTACAGATGAAAAAACTTGTGGAAATGCAGTACGTTTTTAAAAGAACGTGGACTTGCTTGAAAGAACAATGCTTGACTCAAAAACTGATTAATGACTCTTAATCGAACCAGCATATTTCAATTGCTTATCCTTGAAGGACATTCTAACGACTCCACAGTCTTATCAGAATAGGTAGCCTGAATTAACAAAAAAAAGCCCAAAATCAAATTTGTATCGATTTTTGTAGGATTTATTCCACAGACAGGCATTTCATTTTTACGGGATCTTCAGCAATAGGCTGGAAATGAAAAGGCTAATACACCATTGATCATATCTTTTTTTTGCCTGCAGTAAAGGTTATACTGCGGCCCCAACTGCAAAAAAGATGCACATAAAGCAAACCTAAAAACAGTAGCCAAGCCTCAAAACCTGTAATAGACAAAGAAAGTTGCTCAAAAAGTAATTAGTAAATGAAACTGACTAAGCGTTCTGCGTCAGTTAACGAGGAAGCGAGGGAGAGTGAAAATTTTTAACATGCTTCAAAAAATTTCTCAGGTTTCCAACATGAGGTGGATAATATTCTTCTTGCATAGATTCTGCTGAAAAACAGTCAGTTCTATGAACTAAGGTGCTGGGGGCTGATTGTGTTTCGTTGTAAACCAGAAAACTGAAATTATTTCCATCTCTATTGGTACTCAGAAGAAAGCACAGAAACAGAGTTTCTCAAAATTTGAATAAAATATGAAAAAAACTCCCTTGAAATGTAAAAAAAGCAAATTTTCTCGAGTTCAAAAAAAGTTTAGGGACTTTGGTCTGTTTGAAGCGATATGTTTTGCGCGATTATCAAAAGATACATATTCTGTTGCTCTTGAACAGTATCGGGTGATCTTCAATCACAAATTCTCAGTCTTCTAAAATTTTGAGTTTGGTATTTGAATTTGGCACTCAGACGCCATACTGCCATTTTGCCAAAAAAAACAGATGATTCTTTTCGTGAGAAGAGCAAATAAGGAAAGGAAAAGTGAAACCGTATACGTGCATCATAAATGTCAAGGAAAGAACTATTACAAAAGATTTCTGAACCGTCAATAACTGAAGGGAATTCGCATTATCACAGGCTGATGTTCATGAAAAAGAACCCTACAAAATTCTACTTTCAAACTTTCCCATGATTAGCAACTACCGCGTAGGTCTTGAAGTCAGATCTCCACTCCTTAAATTTTTCGAAAACATAAAACCAAAATCTCGATGATTTTTCTCCATCAGTTATCTGCTTTCCGTTCTCAAAAAAAAATTGATCACCGTATAATTCTTAACTGGCCAGTAATATTCCATGCTGATCATGCATAAAATTAAGATGTCGGTTTCCTAAAAACCAAAAATAACTTTTTTTTTCAAAATTGTGTTTTTTTCACAACAGTGGTAGATCATCTGGTTCAGATCTATTCTGAACCACTTAGCTTATAAACCACTGATTAATGATCTAGGTCCGTCTATCTATGATAAGCTTATCATGAGAACGCATCGCGAGATGGTAGCGCGCAAGTCCAACTACTTTTTATTTCTTACGCCGCTCTCTTAAATGCTGTAAAACTAAGTATTTGACACATTTATACGAAGTGTTTCTAGTGCCTGTTATAAAGTATGCGGTAGCGGTTTATTTCTTTTATACGGAAAAAATTGTCAATAATTTTGAAATACAGCATCAATTCAATTACAGAACTCCAGAATTTATCCAAACTTAGACTCGTCACGAAGGAAACGTATAAATTCTTGCTTTCCATTTCCTTGAAATTGAGGCATTAAAAAGATTACGTGTACATTACATCAGCTGATTTTATGATATGCTTAATATTGAGCTTCCGTTCCTTTCTTCCATTCCGCACAATCATCCCACTAAATCTCTGATTTACTGCCAACGGTTACATTCTGCATGTCTGCTGGTTGTTAACATGCTTTAAACCCGAGGGATCGAAACTTAGGCTGATTTCTTTGCATCGTTATTGAAGGCAGGTGAACTAGATCGCACTAAGTTGGTTCCCATCATTGGTAAGCATACAACTAAATTTTAACGTTGAGTGTCATTTATATTTGTTCTCCTATTCGTTTTTTGTTCAAATTTTGAATGGTGAGAAAAACACCTCATGTTTTGAAAAAATGAACAAGTGGCTTTTACGTTCGATTCGCCCAAAGTTCATTAGTAGATAACCAAAGAAACAGAATAATTATGACTGAGAGAAAAAAGATAAATCTTTTGGTTGTTAGAGCAGTTTAGCACTAGAATGACTTTACCACACAATTTCCAGCCACTGCTCCAACGCAACTTCTGGACTGTGCTCGGCTCGGTAGAAAACTCAGCAAAAGTTTCTGACTGATAAAAATTTGTCTACTTCGTAAATTCTTTCAGAATTCTTTTCTGTGGTAGGTAATTACGTCTTCAAAAATACTAATTCTTCCAAGAACTGTTGAGTAACACGAAAATGACAATCATTATTTAGAAAATGCGTCTGAAATTTTGTAGGGGTAATGCCGAACTCCTAGTAAATACTGAGAGTAAAAGAGGAGCGCTTTAAATCTACACGAATTGCTTGCCAAAACAGGAGACTTTGCTGCGATTTGAAAGGTATCTCCGCCAAACGTGGATGACTTTCCTTCATAATGCGATTTAGGATACCAAGGTGAATACCACCGAAAAGTTACTGCAAGATGAGGTAAAAGAGTGTAAGAAATGAGGCGAACTAAAAGAAAGAATTAAAATAAGAAAAGTGAGTTTTACCTAGTAAAATACATCAGAGACTACAAAATTTCTGATGTAAAACTTATACAGATGTTGGATTAAGTGGTTGATACTGACAAACACTTCACTTTCGAACAATGTTGAGACGTTTGAAGTAATGAACCAAAAATTATTACAAGAAGGCTGCCAGTCTTAGAACCCGCCATTCGTAGATTTAACGCTCAGTCAACTTATCTACGTGTCGAAATCGCAAACTACACCATCGGAAAAAAAAAGATGGCATCATCTTTAGGAAATACTTTGGCATTCGTTTTTATACTCAAAGAATGACGAAAAAACTTCACTGCTGCTAAACAGGTGCAAAAATTAGCTGAGTTTCAAAAAAGTAAATTCTATTCCCGTTCATTGCTGAAACTGGAAAAATATGTTGTGCTAGATGCGGATGACGAATTTATCATTCTTAACCACACCCGTCTCTCTTGATTGCCTATAAACGGGCTCCTTAGAGGGCAGGATGTGAAACTGTACTCAATAACATCCGACTAAATAATGTATAGGCGCCGTCATTTCTAATTTCCACTGGGCGGGA